GATCATCGAAAAATATCCTCTAACATTTAAGGATACGGATGAAGATGGTAAATGTTTCGGAGATGGAAGTTACACATTATATTTAAAACTTCGTGATAGAAATTGCTATCTTAATAGGCCACATATGAAAAGGTCTTTAAATCGAAGTTTAAATATACCGTTGAAAAAACAACGAAAAATTTTATCTGCCAAAGCTGGGTGCAGTAATTGGCAGCCTGACAATTATGTTGAATCAGAAACAGATAATACAATAGAAGCCAAAACTGAATTTCTACGACAAATAGTCCTGCAAGATGCTCTAGAAAACGATCCTGATACTACAAAAAAAATTTATTCTTACCTTCAAGTAACGTACCCTGCACAAAGATTATTTCTCAATAATGTCCACAAACCACCTACGATTCAAGACATTAAAAATTCATGGCCAATACTTTTACGAAAAAAGTATATGTTCTGGCATTACCATGAGCTAATGGGACACTCTATAAATATATTGAAAGAACAAATGTTAAAGAAGCAGGAAAAAATACTCATCTACGGACGTCTTAAAAAGTATAATGAAATTATTGATTCAACTGAACTAAAAGAACTTCTATTAATGAAAATAGTTATGCAACACTTTAAAGAAGACTTCCACACATTATTTAAAATATATCCTGTAAGTTTGAAGCATTTGAATATATATTTTTTTTATTAATTTATTATATTATTTTATAAGTGTATCTAATTTATTATATTATAGGAAGGAACAACTATGAGAGAAATTGAAGCACCTATTGCTTCTCCATGTATTGTAATCATAGGTAATACATTATTTTATAATTCTCTCTCTCTCTCTCTCTCTCTCTCTCTCTCTCTTTCAAATCTAACATTTTAATTATATTTTTACATGTGTATGGTGCTTGAATGTGTGTTACAGATGATTTGGAACGCTGCATGTTTTATTTATTTATAGAAACAATTCAGATTGAAAGAACATATTGTTTTTATGAAGCTCTAGAAATGTTAATGTCTGCCTATTATGTTTTCAACATGGAATATCCTACAAACTGTGCATGTACTTTGGAATTTATCCAGAAATATTTTTTAAATATTCATCCTACTTCTGGTACAAAATCACGTAAGATCGCAACTAAATACAAAGTCCTCTCACTATTTAACAAATTAAGAGACGTTGAAGAGAGAGATGTAGATAAAGAAAATATTTCATCAAATTCGTAAGTGTGGTAACTAATATTTGTCTTCTATTGTATCGTCTTTTTTCTGATTCAACATAAATTTTGATATAGTTCTTTAAAAATCTGAAAACATTACAATATCTTAAAAACGTTCAACTATAGCGATAAGTATGCAATAATGTTAAAGTTAAAATTAAAAAGAAATTTTTTCTAATTGTGATATTAGC